CCTTGACCCAGTTGACAAGGAGAGCCATGGTTTTTCGCTGGGGGCCTGAGCAGCAGGACACATTTGAGATGCCGAGACAGAGATTGTGCAAGGCAGCAAGGCGCCAATCTTAGCCCTGCCAGAGGGCGTGGAGGATTTTGTAGTATATTGCGATGCGTCCAACTCAGGTTTGGGCGCGATATTGATGCAGAGGGGGCATGTTATCGCCTACGCCTCGAGGCAGTTGAAGCGTCACGAGGCAAATTATCCGACACATGATTTAGAGTTGGGGGTAGTTGTTTTCGCCCTCAAGATTTGGCGTCATTACCTCAATGTGTTCCGTTGTACCATTTACACGGACCATAAGAGTTTGAGGTACCTCATGGGTCATCCAAATATGAATATGAGATAGCGTCGATGGCTAGATGTGGTGAAGGATTACGATTATGAGATCCTCTACCACCCGGGGAAGGCCAATGTCGTAGCTGATGCGCTTAGTCACAAGGCAGCCCCGATCAGGGATATTTTGCTTGAGGATGACATTGGTGACTCCGTGCTGTTGGAGTGGTTCTGGGAGGCCCAGTAGGAGGCTATGAAGGAGGAACATCGTAATAGTGAGCGTATTGTGGGTCAAGTTTCCTCATTCGATTATGACAGCCGTGGATTGTTGACACTACACCGTAGGGTGTGGGTCCCTTATCATGGAGGTGTGCGCCATGTATTGATGGAGAAGGCGCACAAATCCAGGTTTTCTATCCATCCCGGGGCAACGAAGATGTACAGGGATCTTCGTCCGGATTATTGGTGGCCCTGCATGAAGCGAGATGTAGCTTGGTATGTTGAGAGATGCCTGGCCTGCAGGAAGGTCAAGGCCGAGCACCAAAGGCCTCACGGCAAGACCCAACCGTTGGACGTCCCGATGTGGAAATGGGAATATATCACTATGGATTTCATCACGAAGCTTCCCAGGACCGCGCGGGGAGTGGATTCGATTTAGGTCATCGTGGATCGGTTGACCAAGAGCTCCCATTTCATTCCGATTCAGGAGAGCATTTCGGCCGAAAAGTTGGCCGACATCTACATCAAAGAGGTAGTGGCTCGGCACGGGGTTCCAGTCTCGGTGGTTTCCGACAGAGATGTGCGGTTCACTTCCAGGTTCTGGAAGAAGTTTCACGACGAGCTGGGCACTCGTCTGCACTTTAGCACTGCTTTCCACCCGCAGACGGATGGTCAGAGCGAGCGGACCATCCATAATTTGGAGGATATGCTGTGAGCATGCATTAGACTTCAGAGGTAGTTGGGATACTTACCTTTCGTTGGCAGAGTTTTCCTACAATAACAATTATCACGCGAGTATCAATCGTCCTCCCTTCAAGATGTTGTACGCGAGGAAGTGCAGGACCCCGATATGCTGGGGTGAGGTTGGACAGAGAGTCATGGGGAGTACCGAAGTGGTACTGAAGACTACAGAGAGGATCCAACAGGTTCGAAGCAGGCTTCAGACTGCTCAGAGTCGGCAAAAAAGGTATGCCAACAAGCGTCGTTCGGACCTGGAGTTCCAGGTCAGGGATATGGTGCTCCTAAAGGTGTCACCTTGGAAAGGTGTCACTCGGTTCAGGAATCGGGGCAAGTTGGGCCCCAGGTACATTGGACCTTTCAGGTTTGTAGCCCGGGTGGGCAAGGTGGCATATAGGCTGGACCTACCAGCCGAACTCAGTCAGATTCACAGTACTTTTCACGTCTCCCAACTATGGAAGTGCCTGGTAGACGATTCAACAGTGGTGCCTTTAAAGGATATTCAGGTGGATGACAGCCTGAACTACATCGAGCAGCCAGTAGCTAGCCTCGACAGGAAGTCGAGGGATCTGAGGAACAAGAGGGTGGAGCTGGTGAAGGTGTAATGGCAACACTGCAAGGGCTCAGAATGGACCTGGGAACCGGAGGATGAGATGGGGAGCACTACCCAGAGCTTTTTCCGGATTCAGCAACAGACTTCGAGGACGAAGTCTAAAATAAGTTGGGGAGATTTGTAACACCCGGTTCTTGGTACGTATTTAAATTCAAGTAACTTCGTGTTTTGCACTGGGACTTGGTGAGTTGGAGGCCCAACTCGTCGAGTAGACTCGACTTTTGATCGGAGGGTTAAGTGACCTACTCGACGAGTAGGGATACCGACTCGACGAGTTGGTCTGTCTGGGCAAAACCCTATTATTTAGGGTTTGTACCCTATTTAAACACCTTAACTTGTCCCAACCCAACCTACATCATCCCTCCCAACCCAGAGAAACCATAAATCGAAACCCTAACATTGTTTGAGTGTTCTTGAGCCATTTTTGTGTGTTTATGTTGGTTGTGAAGCTTGAGAAGGAAGAAGGAGCTTGGAAGTTCAAGTGGAAGCTAGTAGATCCAGAGGTTGTGCCTCATTTCCAGCTCACTTGAGGTATAAAGCTGAAACCTTTACTATCTATCTCTTAGATCTCTAGTTAGGGTTAATTTCTACCTTTTCTAAGCCTTAGAAGTGCCATACTCGGAATTTTGTGGTTCATGGAGAGTATAGCTTCAGATCTGGAACCATTGAGGGTTCCCATGGCATAAAGGTGCCAACTTTATGTCCATGGGAGACCCATGCAACATATAAGCCTCTTTTTATGGCTTTTTGAGCCAAAACCCCCATGCATGGACGTCAAGATTGGAACTTTACGTATTAAATGGATCCTAGGAGGTCAGATCTATGGTTCAGATGCAATGAGACCAACTGAAATCGACTGTATGGTTTTGGACAAAGAGGGACTCGGCGAGTCGCTTAGGTGACTTGGCGAGTCGGGTCGCAGTTTCCCCCAAAAGTCATCTAGAAATGGACACACGTTGAGTTGAAGGAAAACTCATCCTGTTGGGGTTTGTTATGGACTTGAAGATCGAAGGACTCGACGAGTTCAAGGATGAACTCGACGAGTTCAAGACAATGTCCCAACCACATGAAGACAGACTCGACGAGTTCAAGGAGAACTCGACGAGTCATAGACTGAACACCTTCATACAAATGAAGATAAACTCGACGAGTTCAAGGATGAACTCGGCGAGTCAGTTGAAGAAGGCCCCGATGTTTTGTTGAAGGAGAACTCGTCGAGCTCTTGCTAGACTCGAAGAGTAGGGACGGGGTTGTAGCATTTTGTGGACGTGGGGACTCGACGAGTTGGTAGACCAACTCGGCGAGTCTGGTCAACCAGATGTTGACTTTGACCAAAGTTGACTTTGACCAAGGTTTTGACCTTGACTTTAACTTGGACTTGAATTGACCCTTGTAGGGGTTATGAGTATGAAATGGTAATTTAGAAAGGATGTTGTGTAGGGATTGAGGAGTCGAGAAGAGTTGATTTTCATACCGAGGGAAGTGTAGACACTACACGACATTGATGTGAGTTACCTTCCAGTAGAGGTGGGTCTACGACCACAATGCCGGCCCACCAGCAGGAGTTGTCTTTAGATGATTGTCTTTGTGATAATTGTCTAGGTTTGCTACTACCTGATGTGTCTTACGTGTCAGCATGATATGTTATATGTGATAGTGGTAGTAGGAGGGGAATAGTCCCCCGACTCGGTCGTTAGGATCGAAGGGTAGGTCAGTACCCCATATATGCCTGACCGTATGATTATGATATGTTATTGTGTGGTAGTGGTAGGGGGTGAAATAGTCCCCGTTGCCGGTTGAGATAGACCGGAGGGTAGGTCGACACCCCGGAATGGCCTGACATGGGTAGGTCAGCACCCCATCACGACTTGACATGGGCAGGTCAGCACCCTAGAACGGCTTGACATGGGTAGGTCGGGCACCCCAGAATTGCCCGGCAGTATGTATGTTGTATGGTATGTGGTATGATGGGGGGACTCACTAAGCTTTGTGCTTACGGTTTTCAGTTTTGGTTTCAGGTACCTCTTCATCAAAGGGGAAGGAGCCTGCAAGGTAGCAGCGCATCGCACACACCTGATTCCACATTTGAGATCCTTGGGATTGTACTTTGACATTATTACTATTTGACATTATGGTTTTTGAGACATGTAACTATGGTTTTGTGGTTTGATGTGATATCAGTGGTGTTTTTCCTCAAACAAGTTTATAAGTAATATAATTAAAAACAAAAATTTTTGGTCTCGGTTTATGGGATGTTACATTATTATTGTCATTCTGTCAGAATGTTTATTGAGTCGTATTCTGTAAGAATGAGAATGAGTGAAAAACGACGTGTAAGAACAAAAATAAATAAGAATTAGTAAGAATGCATGAAAATATCGATAGTTGTATGAGGTTGAACGTATTCACATTACTAAACAAATTATTCTATTAGTAATTCTTATAGAATAACACTGTCCACAGGTCCGCACAATAGTTGTCCATTTATATTATAACCTAGCCCCATATATATATATATATATATATATATATATATATATATATATATATATATATATATATATATATATATATGGGTTGGATCATTTTACTCATTTATGATTTATCCATTCTGAAATTCAAGACCGAATGATCATTTTTCAAATAAATATTTGGGTCGGTTATTAAGAATAGATAGAAACAAAAAATATAAAAGGATGTTTAATTTTTTCTTTTTAAAATAACATTAAAAAATGGTTAGATTCTTAAAAATATAAGTTTGTTGTGTATTATTTTTTTTAGAGTAAATTACTGAAATCGTCCCTGTGGTTTGGTTAAAATTGCATATTTGGTCCCTAACTTTTATATTGCACTCAGATCATCCCTGTGGTTTGATTTTGTTGTATTTTTCGTTCTTGTGGTTTGGTCAAAATTGCACGTTTAATCCCTAACTTTATGTATGTAAGGGACGAAAAATGCAACAAAATCAAACCACAGGGACGATCCGAGTACAAAAAAAACTTAGGGACCAAACGTGCAATTTTAACCAAACCATAAGAACGATTTTAGTAATTTACTCTTTTTTTTTTATTTTAATACATTCCGTACAAATGGCACACAAATCACTATTGGGAAATTAAAGTGATCTTCCAAAAACTAGGGTTTTAGAAATATTTGGGTCCGGTGGAGGTTGGAGGGGTTCAAGCAGCAAACTGATAGAAGAGGAATATGACGACTAGAATAGCTCCTGGTGTAGGGGCGAACTTGCTAGGTCAACACTCGGCGGAGAGGAACCAAGACGCCACTGCGTACGTCGGCAACCTTGACCCTCAGGTACTTTCACGCTTGTTTTCTATCATCTTTACTGTCGATTTGAATAATTTTTGTACTCGAAGAATTGTTACTCCAATGGCCAAGTCGAACGGGTCCAATTTCTGGAATATAGATCCATCCAATAAACAAAGGAGATACGTTCTGTACATTTAAGTAGATGATTATAATTTTTCCGTTGACCTAATCCTTTTGGAAAAATTCACCTTTAACAAGAACAGCTTTGACATGGTCTCTATAGTGAATAAGCTAAAGCTAGCAGGAAAGGAACAAATAAAATATCAAACGGGGTCTGGTTGTCAAACTCTTATTGCCATCTTCATTTATGTTTGCTTGTCACAATAATCGAACTTGGAACTAAAATTGAATTGACTTGAAATGGAAGCTACATTCACCTATTAAGTTACAAAGCAGGAATTTCAAAATGAACAAGAAGTTACCAAGGGCAATGTTTGATCTAAAAAAAGTCTGAGTGTGTATATCTTTTCAAACAGACGGATCACTTGATTTTTTCTATTTGATGGATGGATGAGCTTTATATCATACTCTTTGTGGTTTTTTTTTTTCTTAATATTCTTAATTTTTTAGTAATATTGATGTTTCTTATGTCTTTCTTTTTTCAGGCAACAGAAGAGCTATTATGGGAGCTATTTGTTCAAGCTGGTCCAGTTGGTAAGTTCCTACTTCCTATCTCTATAGTACCAAAACAAAACACATCTGTGGTTTAAGAAAAATCATTTTGTATTATCTTTTTTTTTGTGTGGTTTAATTAGTGCTTAAACAAAGCATACAAAGGTTAATCTTGAATTTGTATTTATATCTGTTCTTCTTATTCTTCAGTCAACGTGTATGTTCCTAAAGATAGAGTAACTAATCTCCACCAAGGCTATGGCTTTGTAGAGTTCAGAAGTGAAGAAGATGCTGATTATGTAAGTAGTGCTTATTGCTGTAATTCTTCTGTCAATCTAGTTGTGAATGATTAAGAGTCATAATAATTACAAAGATTGGCTAACAATTGGAATTAATATCTAAAGATGTTAAAATTTGCAGGCAATAAAAGTTCTAAACATGATCAAGCTGTATGGGAAGCCAATACGAGTGAATAAGGTAGACTTGAATGTTTCACAAAAGAAATTTCTTTAGGCTTCTTATTCTTTTCAAAGGTGCATAAAAATTCTTGAAAAATGTTTTTATTTTTTAAATTCTGTTTTCCACTGCAGGCATCACAAGATAAGAAGAGCTTGGATGTAGGAGCTAACCTTTTTGTTGGAAACCTGGATCCTGTAAGCTTCTTCATTATAACATGAATTTTCTGTGGATGAATAAATTTTTATGAGTTGTGACTTACTGCAATACTTTTTGCAGGATGTAGATGAAAAACTTCTTTATGATACTTTCAGTGCTTTTGGAGTCATTGTTACAAACCCCAAGGTAATTAATTATACTAACTCACCATGTTGTTTGCTCTTATAAAGGTATACATTATACTAATAATTCATAAATTTGAAATAACAAATTATTTTTTGCAGATCATGAGAGATCCTGAGACAGGGAATTCTCGTGGATTTGGATTCATTAGCTATGATTCTTTTGAGGCTTCAGACGCAGCTATCGAGGTACTTTCTATCATTATCTTAATGTTTTCTAAAATCTTGGATCTTTATATACGACATCTTTGATTAAAATATAGTTACAAAATAAGTATACTTGAAAGCTGATTGTTGCTAATTTTATTTGTGTGTTTTTTATTATCCAGTCAATGAATGGACAATATCTATGCAATCGTCAGATAACAGTGTCATATGCTTACAAGAAAGACACAAAAGGAGAGCGCCATGGTACCCCTGCAGGTAACACTTCCTTGTCCCTGTTTCTTTTTTGATAGCAATGCACTTTATTCCTTCCACTAATATAGGCAATGTACTTTATTTTTTAACCATAATTGCAATTTTTTTTACTGATAATAGCAATGTGCGTTATTTTATACATATAATAGCAATGTATGTGATTTTATACATTTTGTCAAAAAAGTAACACACTCATTTGGTAATAATTGATTGTTTGTGCAGAGAGGACACTGGCAAGCAGTAATCCAACAACCCAAAAAAGTAGGCCCCACACATTGTTTGCAAGTGGACCTCCGACACTTGTTCAACCAACCGGTGGAGCTCCGGTTCCTCCACGCCCGTTTGTCAACGGAGCGGTTCCTCCGGTCACAACTATTCCGGCCATCCGCCCCCTACCACCACCTGCACAGCTCTACCAACCCATGCAAATGTCTGTTCCACCACCACAATGGCAGCAGCAGATGGGCCAGCCTCCTCAAGGCATGCCACCACAACACCTCCAACAGTTCAGGCCGCCGCCCCCACCTACTATGTCACAACAACCTTCAAACATGCCTCAGCAGTTCAGGCCGCCTCCACCGCCAGCAGGTATGTCCGGTCAGCAAATGTGGAGGGCACCACCGCCTCCTCAACAGCTCACCGGAGGCCATGGTCACCCTCCTATGATGCAGATGTCAATGCCGCCACCACCACCCAATGCACAACAGCCACCTCCTCCCTCTGGTTGAAACTTGTATACTAAAATGTCAGATTTTTTTAGACTCAGAGGGATTTGTTTTTTGTTTGGTTCTTGTATGTTATCATATTATATTTTGTTACTATTTTAAGTTCCAAAGGTTTTAGGAGTTTAACTATTTTAGTTTGAGTTATATAACTTGCTTATTCCATTTGAATTATTGCTTTCATAAGAAGAAAAAGGCAATAACTATCTCATAAGTCATCAAAATATGTTATTATGAAAATCTTTACATAAGGTTAAATTGCTAAAAAGTACAGTATTTTAGTTTCAACGGACAAAATATGATCATATTACCTAATTTTGAATCCATAATCAAAATAATTATTAAAACCCCCAACATTCGACGTCTCTTAAATTAAAATCCCTTTTTATTTTCTTTATGTGTATTTGTTTAACATTAATCAGATTAAGTTTAACTTTATTTTAGTTATTGTTTGAGAATTACTTTTAACTTTTATATGTGATTAAACAATTATATTATATAAAAGATAAAAAGACATCGTTAAAAATGACAATAAGCTCATGTGATCTCATCCCACGTGTTGTTTTGCATGCCTTTTGATCACTTTACGTGTCCCAAACCTCTTTACCACATCAAAACCCTCTTTTCTTCTCACTTCTTTTTCTCTCTCTCTCTCTCTCTCTCTCTCTCTCCAAACCTACCTTGAAACCCTCAACAATGACCGATAGAAACAACGTCGTCGGACAACACCAACGACCACCAAGACCCACCACCAGCGGCGATGGAGGACCATTCATCCGCAGACTCCGTCAACACTCCCTCAACTCGACCCAACTCATGGGAATAATGACTCTTGTAATCTCCGGCGCCATCTTGCTCCTCCTCACCGGCGTCACCATCACTGTTGCCGTCGTCGGAGTCATCTTCTTTGCACCTCTCATCATCCTCACCAGCCCCATATGGGTCCCAATCGGCACTCTCCTCTTCGTAGTCGTCGCTGGCTTCCTCTCGGTTTGCGGGTCTGGTCTGGCCGCCGCCGCAGCCGTATCGTGGTTGTACAAGTATTCCAGAGGGTTGCATCCAGTCGGTTCAGACCGGGTTGACTATGCGAGGAGCCGGATTGCTGATACTGCGAGTCATATGAAGGATTATGCGAGGGAATACGGTGGGTACTTTCAGGGTAAGGTGAAAGACGCAGCTCCCGGTGCTTGAAGGTGGTGCAAACCGGTCGGAAACATGAAGAACAGTCGGACAGATGGCTGACCGGATTGTTCGTCTTTTATTTCGTATTTTTACGTTGTGTTTTTTTTTCTTTGTCCAGTGTTTGAAAAATCAAAATCATGTGTTGTGTATGCTATAACAATGTGTACCTCCTGCAGTAAGGGTTGTATATTTGACAAACTTCTTTATTTTGTGGTTAACAAGATGAAATTTGATTGGTAACAAATGACGAGTGGTAGTATAAAATTTTATAAATTGTGATCGATAATGTCATCGTATAATTTGTTCTAAAACTCATTTTATTATATAAATCAATAATAAATTAAACATTTAACCATAATAAAATTGAACGCAGGTAGCTAGGTACTGCGTAATATTAAAAGAAGCGTGTATCTAAGAGACCTTAGTGGAGTTGGTGTAATTTGTGTATATTTAATGAGACACATAAACACTTTGTGAAATTTATAAACATTTTCAGAATTTATGCCTATTTTTACAAAAGAAATAACACGTACCCTAGTTGATAGATTGATAATCAGAGGGTTCATTTTACAGTTTTTACTTCAAAACCTAAGATATGTTTGGATTAGTCACGGTTTTCAGACCTCATATATGCTCAGACTAGTTCTAGTGGCGAGTCTAGAACTGAAAATCACGTGGTTCCCTAACCAAGTTCAAGCGGGCCGATTCAATAGAAAAATCAGGTTCAACAGAGTTATTTCAACCGAAAAAACAACCAATTCGGTATGTATAAAATTGACGGTGAAAGGACCGAGCCCAATCCAGTCATTCCTTAAATTTTTTTTTTACTAAAATCAATTTATATTTAGAGTATGTCGGCTTAAACCATGCATTACCAAGCTTATGGTGTGGAAACGTGAAACGGAAAATAGTTATTTATAATGAAAACACTTCACTACTTTCTTCTTGGAATCGATATGTGACTCTTTCATGTCATAAATATAATATGAGTTATATCGTTTTTAATTTATAATATTTTTTCATCCAAACAAATATATTAAGGTATGTCCCTTAAAATATTTAAGATAGATCCAAAATATTTTTATATATAACTTGTAAAAAGTTTAGGTGGGTCACTTGATATATATTAGCTTCGCCCACTTACTGGTTCTCTTATTGTTTTCTCTATCAGTAATAGTTCCATAATATATAAAAAAAAGCATGTAATGTTTAATTTATCAAATGAAAAAAGAAATATATAAATGAAGGTTATATTCTAATTTATTTATATTTTCATTTTGTTTTCTTTCACTTTGATTGATATACTTTATTTATTTATTTATTTATTTATTTATTAATATAGTCAAACAAAGGTAGAACCCTTGAGTTACATTTGTTACACAGTAGTGGGCACTAGAGGTGCACAATCCTAACCGGTTATTATAACGAGCTCAAACAATTTTTTTAAAACCGGTTAAGCTAAAATTGAAACCGCATATGAAAAACCACAACCGTTTTTTTCTAAAACCCCCGAACTGAATTGGTTTTAAACCAGAAAAAAACCTAATTTTTTAACAAAATTTTATTTCCAAAAACCGAACCATTTATAATCGAAACCGGTTTTCCTATAACCGATATTTTTTAACCAGAACTGGTTTAAAACCGGTGTTGTGCACCTCTACTGGGCGTGTTTGATAACACAAGAGGAAATTTGATTGTACACGACAGAACCATATAAATATTTTAGGGCTATGCTGGAAAATCAATTTAGAAGTATCCTAATGACAAACTAGACAATTAAAATACTTTTATGATTTCAGAGTTATAAGGTAGTCTTACATGTTTGATTCTATAAAAAAACTTTTTGCATCAATTGAACTTTGCTGGAGACTTATGATTCTTAAGCCTCAAGGTTCAACATTAAATCTTCATACAAAAGACAAATTCATGATAACAACTGTTAAAGTCAAGCTCTCAAGTTAGGAAAATCTTCGGTTCCAGTTTGGCCTCATATTCACTCCTAATATTATTACTTTTTGCAATTAATCCATAAAGACTTCTTAATTTATCCATGAAAGTATTTACCATCTCCGGTTGGCATTGTTTTCAAAAACAACAACTGCCCATGCAACGGGATATACTCTATTGCAGGGGCGGACGCAAGATTTCACAGTAGGGGTTGCACAGGAAAGTCAGAGGCTGCACAAGAAAGTCAGGGGTTGCACGGTAGAAGAAAAAATAAAAATTTCGAAAATTTTCGAAAATTTTTCCAATGCGGCCGGAAAAGTCAGGGGTTGCCGGTACCACCATGGAATCCCCCCTAGGTCCGCCCCTGCTCGATTGTTGGCATCCAATCATATTATTTGTAACATTCATAAAAATCATGCCAAATTTAAAACTTTTAAAACATTTCCAAAACCATTAACCATTACAAAACTTGTTTTCAAAATGTATTATATCAGAGTATCCCAGAATCAAAGTCATAAAAAGTGAGGAGCTGTACGATCACGCCTTCGCCTTGCCGCGATCCCCTGATGTACCTGAAACAATAAACTGAAACTGTAAGCCCGAAAGCTTAGTGAGTTCCCCCAAAATACCCATACCACAACAATACACATATAATCATAAACAACATACTATGGGTCCAATCAACCATCGGGTTGGAATACCCCAGGCCCTCAACCATCCGGTTGGAATGCCAACATACTATGGGTCCAATCATCCTCGGGATGGAATACCCCAGGCCCACAACCAACAGGTTGGAATGCCCACATACTACGAGTCCAATCATCCTCGGGATGGAATACTCACAGCCCACAACCTACAGGTTGGAATGCCCAGGTCTATTGGCCTCCACACAAAGCAGATAAACCTCAACCGTTAAACGAACACGTGCACATATAACAGATAATCACATAACAGTCTATAGACAATACTTGATCTAACGGATCATACCACATAGCACATGAAACCATCCTATCTACCAGGATGCCGATCTAACAGATCATACCACATATCATATAATATTATCCTACCCTCTAGGATACTGGTCTAACAGGTCATACCACATACCATATAATATTATCCTACCCTCTAGGATACCAATCTAACAGATCATACTAGCATAACATAACCAGATAACAATCCAAAGGGTCGACCTTGGTGCCTTAGACCCTTGAGTATAGTGAGGATAACTCACCTCACAAGTAGCTCGGAAGGTAGTGTCAAACTCCTCCAGATGTAGCTCCAACTCCAACACCTATATTCACCAATGTCCTTTGCTATCAATATTCAATTTACCAAAATACCCTCAGAAGTCAACTGGTCAACCCTTGGTCAAAGTCAAAGTCAACTGTCACGGTCAACAGTCCATGTTGACCTCAATTCGTCGAGTACCCTTATCTACTCGCCGAGTTCCTTGCATAACTTGCCAACTCTCCGAGTCACTCGTCTGACACGCCGAGCCTAAGGCAATCTTCATCGGACTCGCCGAGTCGTTCATACGACTCGCCGAGTCCCTTCAGTCCTTCATCCATATATATGCTTTTTAAGCTATGCTAAGGCTCCATACTGCAGATCCAAGCTCCTAGGGCATGTTTATCACGTAAAGTTGCAAACTTTACGTGCATGCAAGGTGCTAATGACTTAAATCAAGCTAAAGAAGAGGTTCTAGGTAAAAGAGCTTCACCAACATGCTAAAGACCGAGACTTTATGATGAAAAGAGCCAATATGAGCCTAGATCTGAAGTTGCAACTTCAGATCTTGGTTCATCACTCGAAATGTAACACCAAATGCCCAAAATGGTCCCAAAACTCAAATATAAAAGGGACCTAGCTAGAAGAAGCTCGAGGTGATGACTTGATACCTTCAAATGATGATAAAATGAGGTAGACTTCAGATCCCTAACTGTTCCTTGCTCAAAGCTTCTTGATCTTCAAGCCTTTCCTCACCAAGATCCACCTTTCAAGCTTAAACACACAAGTATGGAGAGAAAATGGAGATTTAGGGTTTCTGGACTCACAGGGGTTGTAAGGGAAGGCTAAGGGGGCAAAGGATCCTTTAAATAGGGTGCAAAACCCCGGGGATTAGGGTTTCACCCTCCAGCTCCAACTCGCCGAGTCACTCTTCCGACTCGGCGAGTTGGTCACTTAAATACGTGGCCCAATCCTGCTCATACTCGACGAGTCAGGGCATCCACTCGTCGAGTAGACCTTGAAACTTGAAATTTAAAGTCATACTATCAATACCTGAGAATCGGGGCGTTACATTATTGGGGATTAACTGAATATGAGGTTGGAAAATAAGATGCCAAAGGTATTAGGTCCAGATTACATCGATAGAAAGAGATGTCAACAATCAAGTATATCACATTGCATGATATTGAAAACAAGGTCAACCGAAAATGGTGTGGACTTTTCTGAATAAATTAAACAGTCTTTAGGGTTTACTTGAAATATATATATATATATATATATATATATATATATATATATATATATATATATATATATATATATATTGTCTTATTTTTTTTAGAATGACCGGATTTTATTGAAACCGGACTAACAAGAAACTAGACGGGAAAGAAACAAAACATTATATAATCACCATCTGTGTAACATCCTATTCCGAATCAATTTTTAGTATGAGGCTGTGGCCCGAAGACCGGTCATCATAAGGATTAGGGCTTTTTAAAAGGTAAGATATAGGCCCATTTGGGTGCGGGTGATGTATTAGAAGTGATCCGAGTGTTCGGTTCGTGTTTTGAAGCCTAGGGGTATTTCGGTAAAATGTCAGATCGGGCTTTTGTGGATAATGGATTTTTGTTCGGAAGGTTTTAAGAAAGGTAGGAGTTGATAGAAGTGTAGGGCTTCTTGTTACCTTTCCGTGGATATAAGGATCGTCGGAATCGGGTTTATAACGAAGAAGTTATGGCCTTCGGACGTTTTGTGGTTTTCAGGCTTAGCCGAGTACACGGGGCGTACACAAAGCGTACGCGGAGCGTACTAGTGAAGAAGGAATTACGTGG